CATGGACTAACATTATCTCAATCTCATTATATTGAGAATTATTTGATAAGTTCAAGAAATTGAATTTCAATATTGTCAAAACTCCAATTGATTTTTAAACTGTACATTTCAAAAGAATGAAGGTCAAAGTGACTCGCAATTGGAATATGCTAGAGTATTGGGAAGTTTGATGTTTATTATTAATCGTACACGACCAGATAGAGCATGTGCTATTTGAAAACTGAGTCGGTTCACTAGTACTCTGAATCAAACTCATTGGATGGAAATGAAAAGTTTGTTGGGATATCTGAAATATACACAACACTATGCTTTGCATTATAAAAAATATTCTTCTGTAATTGAAGGATATAGTGATACAAATTGTATCATCGGTTTAAATGAAGTAAAATCCACAAGTGGTTATGTGTGCATACTTGGTGGAGGAGAAGTCTCTTGGAAATCATCCAAAAAGACTTGTATTGCTCGCTCCACAATGGAATCTGAATTCATTGCTTTAGATAAGGCTGGTGAAAAAGTTGAATGGCTCCGGAATTTCTTAGAGGATATTCCATTCTAGCCCAAAACTGTTGAACCTATTTGCATACATTGCGATAGTCAAGCAGCAATAGGTAGGGCAGGTAGCATCATGTACAACGGGAAGTCTCATCATATACGACAGAGACATAACACTGTAAAACAACTGCTCTCTAGTGGAATCATCATAATTAACTATGTAAAGTCAAGCGATAATGTGTCAGATCCACTAACGAAAGACCTAGTGAGAGAGGCAGTTGAAAGATCATCTAAGAGAATGGGTTTATGGCTTCGGACAAGTCAGCATGACGGTAACTCTATCTAGCAGACTGGATATCTCAAGATCTAGATTCAAGGAGAAAAACAAAGTTGTGGTTAACGGTTCAACATTGTAAATTAACTCAATCCATTCTCATGATGAAGACAATGTGCAGGAACAAGGTTAAGACTTTAAATCTTATTAATGAGATAAAAAAGCTTAAAGTTTTTAATGATTTGCTAAGTTTGGTAGATTTGACCAAATAGTGTATCTACGAGATGACACGGTTAGAAATCATATATGTGAGTCTGAAGTGGAAACCGCTTCAAAGAAAATTTTATGTCAAAATTATATTCTATATACACTCATGAAACCAGGAGGTGTTCATGGCTGAAATGAACACAACCGTAAGAACCATAAACAGTAAAGGGCTAATTGTGTGACGTATGGTTGTCTAGGTATACACAAAAGCTCGACAGTTCAAATATATCGCATCTACCAATTGACCGAGTATATCCGACATAAGTTCACTACAAAAAGTCCAAGGGAAAACCTACTTATCCAGATGCAATTAATCCCTTGTAAAGTAAACACTTGTTTGTGCATTCCTATGTTATAACCATTTCCCATCAATGTGGGGGATTGTTGGGTATGTAGCAAGAATTGATGGGAAAAAGAGGGAAAGAGAGGAACTTAGAAAGTTGAGAACTTGAAAAGTCCTCTTATAATTCAATGAAAAGACATTTGTCCCTCATCGGTACTGGAAAGAAAAATATGAGAATTCAAATATCGAAACACTCCTATTAATTGTTAAAAGGGTTGGAAAAAGGAACGCCCCTTGCGCCATCGTCGTCCGTGCTCGCTCATCTGGACTTCAGCTACGGCTATGGTGCTTCGACTTCTGCTTTGGCAAATGATTGATCGAGAGATTATTTTTTGGACAAAGTTTGTTTTAATTTTCTAATTAATTATTTAATTAATTAATTAATTAAAATGACAAAAAAATTTCAATTAATTAGTTGGCAACGGAAACGTCTTCAGTTATTAATTAATTAAATTGAAAAAATATTTTCAACTAATTAGTTGATAACGGAAACATTTTCAGTTATTTAGTCGAAAATAACTGAAATGTTTCAACTTTTTAGTTAACTAACTCGACTGGACACAGATCCGCGCGTGACCCGTTTGATTTTTTTAAAAAAATTCCCGTTTATTCAAATTTTCCCGCCATTTTTTGAAATGACTGTTCTGAAAGGTTGCTACTTTCAGGAATAGTCAGTACCATTTGAAAGGTTGCAAACTTTTATTAATGGTCGTGTGGTTTCTGAAAGGATTGCAACCTTTCAGAACCTGTTTCTCTTTCCTAGAAATACATTCCATCTTATAGAATTTTCAAAATGAATTTTTTTGATCTCTACTTCTTCTGTACAACAAATTACTTTGTGTATTTAACTGTTGACTGGTTCGCGGACACCAGAGTTTTTGGTATCTATACTCTGGTGATTGAGATTATTTTACCCTAGGAGGTCATATTCCAAATCAAACCTCGGATACAAGAGGGGAATAATTTTCTGAAGGGGACACCGTGAGTTCACAAGACATGATAGTTTTCCTGTTAAAATTTTCAGATTCTGGTACATTTTTTTTACAGATTTTAGTTTTGTAAATTAAATTTCTGTTATTCTTTCTTACTTATTCAGTAGATTTTGGTTACTTCGTGTTTCTACAAAATTTATCAGAATCAGTAATTCTGGTTTTTTCTAACACAGATTGGCAACAAGAAGTTCATTGCACATAAGCTAAATTTAAATGATCATACTGAGGTAATGATTTTATAAGCTAAATTCTGCATTTCTTTGAACTAGTTAGTTATATAGAATTTAAAAGTTAGGAAATTTGAAAATGATTTTATAAGCTAAATTCTGCATTTCTTTGAACTAGTTAATTATATAGAATTTAAAAGTTAGGAAATTTGAAACTTTTCCCTCTTATTTGAATAAATATACTAACTCTTACTTAACAAAGATAAAAAGTACCTGGGTTGAAACAACTTTTGATCTCTCTAATTAGAGAGGCAAACAAATATAAATAGCTATGACAGTGAAATAATTTTTTATTTTATACTACAGGAAGATATGTTGAAAATATCGCCACAGTTTTACTTTGCCACGGAATCATCTTTATATCATTTTGTCCAGGTGGATATTGTTTGTTATGGTGAAAATTTGAATGGAGATATGACGCTCAAAGGCATTCAACTTAGATGAAAGTCACACCTTCGCAATTCTGGAAAGGGAAAGGCTAAATGGGAGTTGGAGGAGGCTATGACTCAGCTAGGACACATCGCTTGTGGCTACTAGAATCATGGCTTAAAAGAAGTGAACTACGTATGTCACAACAGACTTAAAGACTTTTCAGTAGATAATTTTTATACTTGCATAATAATAATCCCAGAGCTATTAGTGCCCTAATTCTTTGCTATAATATCGGCAAACAATCCATGCTTTCGACTTGTATTATCTAGTTTACAATGAAATATTGTGCAATAGACTTCTATATTCGCAAATTTTTCAGCATGCATCTTATGATAATGTTGTTTTCTAATTTTCACTAATTTGTATTCCTCTAAGGGAAAATGCACAAGTACCCCTTCAACCTATGCCCGAAATTCTAGAGATACATTTATACTATACTAATGTCTTATTACCCCCTGAACTTATTTTATAAGTAATTTACTACCCGTTTTCGTCCCACGTGGCACTAGCTTTAAAAAAGTCAATCAACTTGGGCCCACAAGATAGTGACACATAGGCTGAAAAGGGATAGAAAATTATTAATAAAATAAGTTTAGGGGGGTAATAGGACCTTAATATAGTTTAAGTGTGTCTTTGAGATTTCAGGCATAGGTTGAAGGGGTACTTGTGCATTATCCCTTCCTCTAAAGGGAGAAGGAAGTGAGACTATTTTACCTATCAGATTTTATTACAAGAATTAAGCATTTAATTAGTCTGAACAGGTCTTTAATCATTAAGATCTTGAACAAATTCTTAGAATCATTAAGATGTATTCTTTTTTGGATAATATTCACTGTCACACTCACCAACTACGACCATTAACCACTTCATTCATCATAACTACGTGAAGCATCTTCTTGGAATTTAACTCTGAATATGAAATATATATTTTGTGAACATAAGACTTCGTAAATATCTTGGTATTACATAATTATTTGCTTTTCCTTTTGTAGAATGCAAGCTATTGATTGCATTTCACCAAATAACATCTAGCACTCAGTTTGTCTCTTCAATATTGATTTGTCTCCTATATTTTTAAATCTCATACTCATCACCATGTAAATGAATTGACCGATTTAGCAACATTTTGCAACACTTAATGAAAGTTTCAATATAAATGCTTTAGACCTTAGGCCATCAAGTGCATCTGTTATAATTAAGATTTAAACATTTAATTAATCATTAAGATGTTGAATAAACTCTTAATATCTTGTGTAGATATTTTACCACTCTATCCACAATCACTAACCATCACCATTATCGTTGTCAAACACCAAACACCTTTGTTATCATCACCACCATTGACAACCACTCTTTATACAAGCTCATTCGAAGGCAAATATCATTACACGTTCTATCATATAGAATACTTATTGTACTCGATATTTGGTGCAAACTTATACTATACTTATTGGTTTGAACTTCTATTATATGTTTTGATAATGAGTTCAAAAATGAATATGAGCTACATTTGCTTTGTCTAGCTTCATATTAACTATCCTCTAGGAAAAGGCCTTGTAACATTATACTTGTGGTGATTAGGAATATTGGGTGGGGTTACAATGGTGATTCATAAATTGTAACATTATACTTGGGGTGATTGGGAATACTGGGTGGGTTTATAATGGTGATTTATAACTTGTAAATTATACTTGTGGTGATTTGCTTTTCACAAAAATAAAATTGAAAAGAAGATTACGAGGTGTGGAAGCATGATAAAAGTTCATATAGCCAACCAACTGCAGTAACAAAATTCCTCTTTAAATGAACTATATACATGCTTTATTTTCCTATATAGTAACATTAACATATATATCATATTTTCTTTTGAGCAAAAAAGTTTAACTCTCCAAAACTTAAAAGTCTATATTATCTTAAAGAACAATTCTTCAATCAAAAGAAATCATTTAATTTCCATATCACCCACTAAAAAAGAAAAGAAATTACATTGATATGAAATCATATAGTAGCTTTAAGATTGCTTACTATTGATATGCATATTCTCAATTTATTTATAAAAATAACAAACTCATTTCTAAAGCTAAGGAAAAACCTTATGAAGTCAACAAAACATTTTAATTTCTCATTGCTTATGATGATTGAGATGTTGCTGTCATTTGAGCCAAGATGCTAGCATATTGTACGACAGTATGTTGTGAAGTGTATTGATCAGAGAGACCAAACTTTGAAAAATTTGGTTCAGTGTGCACAAAATGACCCGGTAATGATTTTTTCCCAAGAGTTACCTTCAATATCTCGAAGAATTCACTCATAATCAGATGTGATGTTTCCCATGAGGAAATCGGAAGATACTCCATCTATAAAAGAAACAAAAATTTTATGAAGCAAGCATTTTCATAATAGTAATTATTTTTTTAATTAGGTAAAATACAATAATTGAATTCTTCTTCGTGAAGTGTAAAAAGAACATAATATTTTACAACATAACTTTATTTTTTTATATGAAAAAAGAAAAGGTTTAACCACATAAAAAGCTTAACTGAGAATAAATCTCTAAAAGTATTTGCATACCTCTATAACTATTCCTCTCAAGTTCTCAGAATTTATCGGAACAACTTTGCCTACTCGCATCCGGAAGTCACCAAGTCGATACTGAAACCCCTATATCATACAAATATTTTAATGAGTATTTATGAATACAAGATTTTTAATTTGATGGCGTTATATAAGTATACCATCCTTAATACGAACAATAATTTGCAGATCTCAGTATAATACAAACCTCACAATTAATTGCAAGCTTCATTTTGTAGGATTGTAAGTTCTCCATTATTGTCTGCATTGATGATTCTGCTTCCACAATCAGTCGTTGCCTAATAAGTGCCATGTAAAACTTCTCTGGTTGTTCTTGAAGTGAAACCCCTAAAAATATTTGGGGAATTTCTGATTCATTTGCTGGTTCTTGTAAAAGAAAAAAAAATAATCAACAGTCAAATATCGTATATGGCTACAAAACTACTCTTAAAAATGACATAATGTGTAGGTTAGAAATGCGAGATATATAGATTATCGATCTTACATTTATATCTATTCTTGATCCAAAAAAATTCAATATTTTTTCACTTTTTTTACATTATCTTACAAGGGAGAAAAACTTCCCAAGTCCAGTCTTTATAATGCATCAAGAGGAGAAAAAAAGGGAGATCATCTCTTTATATTGTGTTTGCATACATGATTTATTAAGTAAGATGAAATACCTTTGAGTATTGGCTTATAGAAGCAAAAATTATTTTTCCATCCTCCTTCTTTAACACCATTAATGCTCTCAATACAATTAGATACTTCTATTAGTATTTGACGATTGATTGTTATACCTGCATTCGGTTGCCAACACAAAACCCTAACAACAAACAAAGTAACAAAATGTAAACTTAAGCATACACACCAAAATCATTCAAAATATTATGTTTAGTGAATTCAAAATTGTTACCATTTGATTGGCATGTTGCTGATTGCAAGTATAGTTTTCTTTTTCCTCTTAACAAAAAATTTGTTCAAAAAGAAGAAAAGTTGCTAATACAAGGAAAGATAAAGAGAATGAATCTTAAAGTCTTTATGTTATATTTCAAAGTGTGTGAAAGCATAAAACTGTACTTATAATGGACAAGTACCTTGAACAAAAATCAAGTCATATTTGACTTTTGTTACTAAAATTTCAACTTTACTAAAATTTCAACAAAATTACCTTTTATGGTCAAACATGTTAGATAATAAAAATAGTATTTCTTTTTCCTTCTAATATATTGTGGAATTAATAATTTTTCCTAATTAGCATCCAAGATATTTATTTCTCTTAATTGTAGGTCAAGATTATATTTGTCTGAAATGTATCTAGTCAATATATTTATTTCTCTTAATTAATTTGCCTTTTTATGATTTGAACGATTAAAAAATAATCAAAGATTTCATTAAGAAATATGAATTATTTTTATTAAAATAAGGTATGTAGTATATTTGTTCATTTTATATTATACAATATTTCTTTTATATTTGTTAAGTAATTCAATAGTATTCTCATTTGTAGAATCAATAGTTTTTCTTAATATTTCTCAAAGATAGAAATAGAAAATATAATACATATTTGTCCTTAAATGTAATTCTTAATAAAAATTTCCTAGAATGGTACTATCTAGTTTATATATTTATTTTTATTAATTAATAAACCAATTTTTTTTAAAAATGTTTTGAAGGATCAAACAAATCAAAACACTCATACACCGAATATGAATTGTTTATAGTAAAATATATTATAAACTATCTTTATTTTATCTTATATAATACAATTCGATATTGGAAGTCAAATAATTTTTATCAGAGTTCTTATCTACCTTGCATGCTTTTATAAATTTCTGACTTGAATTAAAAATAAGAACTTTAAAATGATTTTATGTTAATAAAAAATGTTACACGTAAAATTTGTAAGCAATGTCAACTATAAGAATTTGTACCGTAGACAAGATATTAAATAGTTTTCCCACTTTATCTGTCATATTTAGAATATTACACTATTTTATTGTAATGAAAAGAGTGTACTTGTGTAATTATCTTTTTATAAGTTTTCTCTTAATCCTGACAAGTGAAAGATCGACCAGGCTGGATGAAGTGCAGATCAACTAATATATGATCATTCAGCTTCAAAATCATCAAAGTGAGTGTTTGGATTAGCTTACTTAAAATTCAAAATATGTAAATTTAATTGTAAAAAATAATTTTATAAATAAAATGTTGCATGTTTGGATAGAGGTAATGAAATTGATAATAAAAAGTTGATGTGTTTGGTAAAAAATATTGTTAAGTTGTTCTACTATTAAAATGATTGAAAGACCCTAAATAATGTAAAAAAAAATATACTAAAACTAATTCTCTATACAAAAGAACGAATGGCATATACCAATTAAAGAAATTTGGTGAAGATATATATATTGTAATACCAAAAACAATAAATTGTTGAACTGTCTTTGTGTGTGGAAAAATGAAAACATGTAGTAGACTTCAATTTCATATTCGATAGCAATTTAGATGTTGCTTGGTCTTACATATTAATGAATGTTGTTTTATTATCAAGAATTTTTTGGAAAGTGATGAACTACAAAGAGAATTAATCTTTTGTTATATTGAAAATGTTGTCATTGTTGCATTTGTTGTTAAAGGTAGATCATAGGACTGGGCATGCATATGACTAGAACTTATCAATGCTATCGTTGCAAATATAAGCAAAAGAACCGCAATCAAAATGATAAACGAGGGGTGTCAAGATAAAGATCAATCAATTCAATCCACCGAATTCATTCAAGTTTGGAGGGATAAAAATTTATCCATCTATTAGCTCAATTTTATTTCACCAACTCAATTCAGTTCATAAGAAATTTAATTGATATGTAGCTCAAATTAATTCATGAGTAATCTTATCAAAATACTTTTTAAAATGACATTTATTTATTTAATATATTATCTATAGTCATAACAACGAAAAGTAATAATTTTGTTAAGAACTAAAAACATAAAAGAATAAAATAAAGGAATTAAATCTTAGTGAGAATTGAGCGCGGGATGAGTTATTATCATCCGCATTCTATTTCTTTTTAGTCAATCTATTTGAACTCAAATATCCTTTAAATGATCAATAATTCACATATTAATAAACTTGTGTTAATTACACCTGTAATATAAACTCTATAAATGAGCACCTTATGTAGGTTAGAGTAAAGTTGAACGATAGGTACACTCACATTGCCTTAATTTGACATGAAAAATACAAGGTATCCCAAGAATTGGAATTGTACAAAAACAAATGAAGAAAAATGTAATTTTGTCCTCAGATCCTCATCTATAATTTCTTAATACTTACAAAAATGTTTGACTTTGGATCATTGATCTCACTCTATGTTTGACCAATAGACAGGTCGAGCAAAGTCAGAAATTTTGTTAAGTACGTTCAAAATTTATTATATATATAAGATGGACTAATCCCTTTGATAATGATTGTATCCTATTTTTATAAAGGTCCTTTTTTATGGATCAAAATTTATTATATATATATATGATGCACTAATCTATTTGATAATGATTGTATCCCATTTTTATAAATGACCTTTTTTATGAGGGAGTTATAGTTGCTTAATATTTGATTATCAAAAATGTGTTGAAAATATATTTTTATCCAAAGAAAAAAAAACGTACGACTATCTTCACTTGTAACTTTACATTTTTTTGCTCTAATTAGTCAATAATTAAACATTATTATTAATCTTCATCACTCAAACTTCCATGAAGATATTCATTAATTTGTTCATAATATTATTGATATTGTTCATAATATTTTTAATATTGTTCAGAATATTAATGTTGTAATCTTCTTTTTACAGAAAAATAAAAGTTAATTGACAAAGCAAATGAAAAAATAATTGGTTGTGGAAATATTTATTAGAATTTTTATTTTCTTATTCAGTGCAAGATACTTATCAGGCGATTAAATTGATGTTTACGATTAAAAATTCAATATATCGATTATCGACTTTTAAATAATTAATCGACCAAAATAAATAAATACGCTGGAATAAATTTAGTAGTTATCAATTGATTTATTGGTAATTAAGAATGTAAACTAAAGTAATTATTGCCATAAGATTCTGTACCCGAATGGTGGATAGACTTTTAAGAAAAAGTAGAGTGCTTCCATCTCCTGGTCAGTAGAGTACTATTGACCTCATTATAAATTTGAGGCATAATATATAAATATATTCTTTAATTTAATTTTAGATGATATTTATGTTTTTTAAATTTTAATTCATTCGAATAGACATTTAAATTTGTATCAAATGACACACACATCCTACGTAATAGAATAAGCGTAGGATGTCACGTAGGACTCCATGTATATATTTCTTCAGTTTTGTGTGTGTATATATATATATATATATATATATATATATATATATATATATATATGTAGAGAGAGAGAGAGAGATAGAGAGATAGATAGATAGATAGATAGAGAGAGAGAGACTATAATTACCAATACTTTCAAAATATTAAGTATCTTATCCCTCATTAAGAGCTTCCTACCATCTATTGAGAAATAAACACTTAAATACGTCTTTTTTCTATTAGATACATAAAAATAGTAAGAGAGGTGAGCGATATTTTGTGATATATAATACATATCTAGGCACATGTGAATCACACTAGATACATGTATATGTATAAATTTGTTGCAATTTGCACGTATTTGGTATCCACAGGAGAGTAGTGAGTGAGATGAGAGAGAGGAAAATGAGATGCGAGTGAAATTTGTTATGTATCCCGAATATATGTGAATCCACTACATCTATCCTTAAATACATATATCTAAAGCCAAATCCATCGGTGGCCCCTTAAAGTTGTCAACAAATTTTACATAGACATTTCAATTGTGTTAATTTCATTTTCGACACCTCATGTCGGGTCCCGTAATATTCTTTTGATAGTTTTTTTACTAAAAGTAAAAATGTCAAGGAGAGTGTAATATACTTGTCGATGACGTGAAAATCAACGAATTAAATGATTACATGTGTTATTTCAAGTTTAAAACTATTTTTAAATCAATTTAGTAAATAAAATAAAAATATTATTCTAAAAAAATTGGTTTAACCCCCCCTCCCCCATGATATTTGTCTTCTCTACTATACCCAACAATTTTCTTAATTTGCTCTTTAAAAATATTTTAGATTCTTTTTTCTTCTCATTTTAGTGTTGTTTTGAGAGAAAAAGAGAGGAGGGGGAGGGAGACAAGGAGAGAAAGAAAAAATTATCAAATATGAGTGTTCATAACCATATTTTTCTGCGAAAAAGGTGGAAATCGAAAATCTTCTTTTTTCATACACTCTATATCTCTGTTGTGCTTTGTTTTTTTATTTCACTATTTTTCTTTCTTTATAATGTTGTTTTGTGGGAAGAGAATAAGGAGAGATCAAATATGAAATATGGGTGATCATATCCATTTATTTGGCAAAAAAGGTAGGGGGAGGTGTTGGTAAATTTTGAAAAGTAATACAATGAAGAAGAAAATAATGACTTAAAAATGAATTTGAATAAATAAAATTGATTTTCAATAAAGGAGTTTAAGGTTGAAAAAATGGTGAAAGGTGGTGATATGAAAATTGGAGAAGAAGAAGACAAAATAAAATTAAAAATTGGCTAAATTAAGCCTTTCACGCGCTATTGTTGAGTAACACACTCACTTTGACATATCAACAAAAATTATCAAAATAAAACAATAAAACCCTACATGAATTATCTAAAATAAACATCGTATATATATATATATATATATATATATATATATATACATACATACATATATACCTATACTTTCAAAATATTAAGTATCTTACCTGCCACGAAGTTAGAGTATTTGCTAAGACTCCGTGCGACACTTGAAAACTTACTCACAAATCTTTCACGAT